CCTATGCCACTTCCTAAAAGGACTTGTTCAAACTTTGTGTAACTATCTAAACTTACCTTAAATGCTAAGACTTCCATAAAGCCATTCCATTTGTAGCAGAAGTACATCATAGATAAAAGAAGAATTAAGAAGCTATTGTGATGGCCCACAAGAGAAAATGGAACCTAATCTACTGAGTAGACATGTGGTAGGACAAATTAAAGGGAATGTTTCAGATTTATTACAGGATAAGGTGCTAGGGAAGGTATAAGGTGGTAAGAAGGATCAATTCATGGTTGATTCAATAATTTGTGTTGTTGTTCAGCATCTTCATTGAGCAAAAGTTTTCTCTGACTTTTTGATCCCTGGGTTTTTGTTGTTTGGGAGGCTACACCCAGCAGTGCAGTGGGTTACTCTCAGCTGTGTGCTCAGGGGTCTCTCCTGGTGGTGTTTGCGGAAACATGCAGTACTGGAGGTTATACCAGATCTGCTGCATGCAAAGATCTGCAAAGATTATACCAGATCTGCTGCATACATTCATACTGTTGAACTATCACTCCACCCTCTCGCTGAATTTTGTTGAAGTCATTTTACTAGAATTTCTCAACAAATCCTTCTTACTTCTTTAAGTAGAGAACTGAATCTCTACTTGAGCTTTTTACCAACTCCTAATCAACTATTTCAAGTTGATCCTAATCATTTCAAGTTTAGTTCAACCATCCCCATGGTTTTCCTTTGTTAAAAGTACCTGAGATACTTGTTCAAAAGATTAATGCTGCATATGCGGAACAAGTCCTTCAAGGGGTAAGGATGCCCAGTGTTAGAGTAACTTTCTTTCTATTATGCGTATTTCCCTAAAAGGCATAGTTTGTAAATTTTTGTTAATATGACAGGGAACATTCAGGCACCTTTCCTGTCCTGCTGATGTGTAGGGCTATTTTTAATTTTTGTTCTTCACTCTTTTTCTGTGCTTGTGATTTTTAAAGGTGCCAGACTGACTTGCCTCAAACATAGTTTCCCTAATTTCTCCCAAGAATAGGAAATATATGGGAGGCGACATAGTTGATCGTGTCCAGGTCCTGAATATTAGCCTGACCTAGTCTGAGGTATACTCTTCAAAATATAAAGATTGATCCTTAAAAATAGAGTCCCACCGCTTTTATAGCAGAAAAGACAAAACCTTGCTGTGCTAATGCCAAGTCACTGAAGTTTTGGGGTCCAATAAATCCAAACATTCCAAATATTCATTACTTCCTTGAAGAGTTAGAGTATTTTCCTCTCTTCCTTCCTCATCTGTCAAAATGTGAGAAACACTGAACCCTTCCCATTTTGTAAGGTTCAGAATGCCTCTTTCTCCACTAAATCTTTTCTGAACTCTCTCTCTCTGGTATTCTTTTCCTCCTACGTTTTCCTAGTACTTTTTCACATGGCACTTCGCACATTTTGCCATATGATTATAGGAAGACTAGAGACTTTGATGACTGGAAAAGACACTAACATACTCAAATTCATTTCTGTGTATTGCACAGAAGCAGAATATAGTATTGGGCAGAAAATAGATACCAAGGAATATCCATTGAATAAGCTTCTTTTCACAGATGTCTCACTTTCTACAAACCATTTAGACTCAGGTTCTTGAGTTCTAAATATTATACTTTGTGCAGCTGGGATCTGAATCAGAATTGCTTTGTCTACCTACCTTGTAGGAAACCATAACCAATTGTTAGTATTTGGCTAGAATATTTTTTTCCCAAAAATGTGTTTCATACATCAGTTGAAATACTGACCAGCCATCAAAGAGTCCAGTTTCACATCTGGATTAGAAAGAGAGAGAGTAATAAATTAGAGTAATGTTTTTGATATACAATTAAAATTATTCAAAAATGGGACAGAGATATAATGCAGGAGGTCAGGCACTTTGCTTACAAGCCATAAAACTGCAATCAATCCTTGACAACACATATGATCTCCTGAGCCTTGCCAGAATAGATCCCAAAGCACAGAGCCAGAAGTAAGCCCAGAACACCACCACCAGGTGAAGGCTCCCACAAAATAATGTTTGACAAATTAAGGTAACTATGAAAATTAGAATTTATGGCCTTGTATTTATTTGATTATAATATTTGGTACTTTTCATATGATGAGAGCTTGTTTGGAGGTTCTAGCAGGGGAGCTCAGCTTCTCTTATACCCTTGACTGAAGACTAGACCATCTCTATTAGGGAAGGCCATCCTCTTCGACCGAGTGCACAACTTCGGGAGGGACACACTTGGAGCAGTGAGGGAGGAAGGGGACACCTACCTATCCAACCAGATCAGCTGAATCAACCCTGGAGATCAATGGGGTGACAGATGTCACAGCCGGGGCTGGAGCAATAGCTCAGCGGTAGGGCGTTTGCCTTGCATGAGGCTGATGGGGACCGACCTGGGTTTGATTCCTCCGCCCCTCTTAGAGAGCCTGGCAAGCTACTGAGAGTATCTCACCTACTGCCAAAGCCTGGCAAGCTCCCCGTGACGTATTCGATATGCCAAACACAGTAACAAGTCTCACAATGGAGACATTACTGGGCCCACTCGAGCAAATTGATGAACAATGGGAGGACAGTGCTACAGTGCATGTGATGAAATATTATGAAATAATGTTTAAAAATCTCAGAATTTTTGGGGCTGGAGCGATAGCATAGTGGGTAGGGCGTTTACTTGTACTCAGCAGACCTGGGTTCGATCCCTGGCATCCCATATGGTCCCCCAAGCAGCGCCAGGAGTAATACCTGAGTGCCGAGGCAGGAATGATCCCTGAGCATCACTGGGTGTGACCCAAAAAGGGAAAAAAAAATCTCAGAATTTTAAAATCTCAAAACAGTAAACTTTCTAAAAACTGATTTTTCTGAATAGTCATAAAATGATACTTAATTTAGAATATCCAAATTTTGTTATCACATGTAATAAAAATACAAAATTTTAAAGGAATATTTCTAGATTATATGTATAGGGATAAAAACAAGTGCAGACTCAGTTCATTTTTCTTTTAATCAAACCACAAAGTTCATTTCAAATATTATACAATAGTGTTTTGTTTGTTTGTTTGTTTGTTTGGGGGTGATATCTGGTTATGCTCAGTGCTTCCTTCTGGCTTTCTGCTCAGGGATCACTCCCAACAATGCTCTCAGTGCTTAGGTATTGAACCTGGCCAGTCAGCCATGTGCAAGGCAAGTGTCTTACCTGCTGTACTATCTCTGGCCCAAAAGGGTATTTTTAATCAAATGACAAGAATATGATATAAGACTTCATAATCACATCAGCTACAATGAAGGCAACTCCATTCTCAAGACATTAACTTTTCCCCCAGCATTGATATATGTTATTTCTTAGAAGGAAAGAAAAAAAAAGGATGCAATGTGGACATACTGTAAAGGTATGTTCAAACTTTAACAGAATATGAAGAAGTAATTTTCATGGCTGAATGCAACTAGACAGGATTAGAAATATATTTGCCTTTTTTCTCCCAAGTTGAAACATTTAGCCCTCCCAATTTTGAGTGTGAAATGGCTGTCAATCTAATGTGACGGAGTGCTGAAAGCCGTCTTCTGTGAGAATTTTCTCCCTAATATCAATTCTGTGTTCAATCCTGATGTCGAGAACCAAGAGGCAAGAGAGCATAGTGGTTGAGGCCGTAGGTGCTGAAGCTGGACTGTTTGGGTTGTTTATTAAATATTTTTGTGATTGCTCCCTCATCTGTAAATAGAGATAATGGTAGTCATAATATAGGCTGTTGTTTAAACCTATGTGATAAATGAATTAATATTTATAAAGCAGCAGGAAAAATGCCTGACATTTAGGAAACACAAAGTTTTGCTGTAGCGTTTCTGTTAAAGCCTGAGGATCTTGCTGAGATTCCTACTAGTCTATAATTACTTGTTTGTTCGGGTTTTTTTTTGCCTTGGCAAAATAAGGAATAAAGGAAAATGGTTGTAGATATGACTTCTGGCTTGATATTCTCATGACGGAGCCAGAAATAGGTACAGATTGCAACCAGCACAATCCCCCTCACTGACATAAATATTTTTTTCTTAAATTAGGTTTTTTTTTAACTTGATTTGAATTTTCCAATCCTAAACCTGATGTCCATATGTAGTACAGATGCCCTAGGAATCTGAATGCTTTAATTCTTCAGAACTCGGGACTATGAGGACTCAAAATTGTATAGTATGCTGATTTGATACAGGATTTATTAATGTTAAAAGTATAGTGCTAAGAAGATATTGGAGATAATGTTAACTGCACTGTAATATCCTAAAGGTTGCTGAGTATAAGAGATCTGATTTGTTTAATAAGTCCCCAGAAGACAGAACTAATACTATTCAGTAGCCACGTGAGAAAGCATCATAGCTGCCCTGAGAAAAAACTTTCTAGCAGTCAGAGCTGGGTAGAAAGAGAAGGGATTATGTTTTGATCTTTCCATCACCAAGAGGTGGATGCGGAGAGTTTATAGCCAGAGTTTTGGTGAAAGAAGTAACTGTCACATAGGCTGCCCAAGGAGAAAGACTTTCCTGACCCAATGAAGGCACTATTATGCCTCCCACTCCTGCCATCCAGACTTAGGTTCCCTGTCCTCCGATGATCTGACATGACAGACAGACCTTTGACCTCAATGTGAATTAGCTTGATTTCTACCCTGCCACTTTCAGTGGGACTTTGCTATATGAGTCAACTCCTCACGTGACTTGTTTAAAATCTCCATCACATTGCCCTTCTACAGTTAAGTGGTGAGGAGACTAGTGAGCTTGAGAATGGTAGCCAGGATGGTCGTGGTGATTCTATGGATGCTGCAGACCTTTTGAATTTACCACATGCTGCCACGTTGGCTTCATTAAAAGAACTGAAGATATTCTCAGGCTGGAGTAATAGCACAGCAGGTAGAGCCTTTGCCTTGCACGCGGCAGACCTGGGTTCGATCCCCAGTTCGATTTTCAAAAAGAATTGAAGATATTCTTGCCAATCAACTCCTTTTTTTGCTTTCAGGTCGTTGTGCTCGCTGTGGAGAAAATGTAGTTGGGGAAGGTACCGGGTGTACTGCCATGGATCAGGTCTTCCACGTGGATTGTTTTGTCTGCGTCAACTGTAACAGCAAGCTCCGAGGGCAGCCCTTCTATGCACTGGACAAGAAAGCCTACTGCGAGCCCTGCTACATCGTAAGTTCTCACAAAGTCCTCAGATGCTTTGCAAAGATGCCTACAGCAAATGCTAATCACTCGAGATAGCGGTGTAGGCAAAAACTTTACTTCTTTCCAGACTTCAAAGTGTGTGTGTGTGTGTGTGTGTGTGTGTGTGTGTGTGTGTAGGCCGATTCTTAATTTTTCCATGTGTTCATATGAAGCTGGGAAGGTGTGTTGGCATAAGTTTTCCATTCAATTATGGTCTACTGAAAAAACCCTCACCCTGCAGATTCCTAAGCATGTGTGTACATGATAGCATGTTCCCCAATGAAGCATCAGAAGTTTTTCCTAGTAGCAGAACTAAATCTACCATAATTAGGTCTTATTTTGCATTTAAAGTTGCCAGTATTTATATAGGAGCTTTCAGGGTCTCTGGATTTGTCAAAGCTCTGTCAAACTCCTGGTCCCTTTGGATGACCTCCATTCTCTCTAGAATGTTTCTTACCTACCATGACCAGTTTTTCAATGGTGCAAACAGAAGCCTTTTATTATAAAGCAGCTTGGACTTGAATGGATGGCGATGCTCTCTGAACTAATAATTGTTTTAAAGAACACAGCAACTGTGTTTGTTTGTTTGTTTGTTTATTTTTACTTACTTTTTGGATTTTGGCCCACATCTGGTGGTGCTCAGGGGTTTCTCCTGGCTCTTCATCCAGAGATTATTCCTGGCAGGCTTGGATACTATATGGGGTGCCAGAGATTGAACCTTGGGGGACCATACATAGGGCAAGAGCCTTCACTGTACTATCTTGCCAATTCCAGCAACTATATTTTAATAACATAGCTAGCTGAGTGACAATTCTTATAGGGTGATGACCTTAGCTCTTTACATAGCTAATTGAATCTATACATTAAGCTGTTTTCTGTAAAGCAATTTTATTAGTAGACATATTTTTAAAAAAAAATCATAAAGTAAATGTCTTTTGTGTCTTTTGTAAGTTTTATCGCTTGGTTTAGCACTAGAGAATGTAGTATCTGAAAACCCACAAAAAAGAAGAATGATTTATTTAACCCTTAATATCTAATAAAAGTAGATAAAAGAAATCTTAGGTATAAGATAATAGGTGTTACACAAATTTTAAAGATTACCCCACAGTTCAAGATTACTGCAGAAGTTTCTGATCTCATTGATATTTTGCAATAACCTGACAGCTTTAACACATTGTTGTCAGTCCAGGACTCTTAACCACAGATCTGAAAGTTCTTATAGATTAAGATTTTGTGGGATTTGATCATTGCTATTTTGCATCATCTCTTAGGTTCAGTTTTATTTCCCTTCTCAAAGGTCACTTAATCACATGTAGCATCATTATAATATCACATAATCTTAAAACTGGGTAAAGAATCTTAAGATTCTTTATCCAGCTCCTCTCAGAAGTGAAAATGCAAAGATGCTGAGAAGAAGGTAGTTTATGTTCTCTCAGTGTCAGAGAGAGAAGACTCTTTTAGGTTGTTTGTAAATCCATTTCCATATTCTTTACAGAGACCACGTTGCATAAACACCAACGTGTGGTGCCCTGTTGCTCTGGTAGAAGCAATTTCGGATCAGGAGAAGTCTAGTGAAAAAAAGATTACCTCTTTGAAGAGGAAAAACATTGCAAGCATCACCCATTGAAATCTGTGGAAAAGAAAATTATTACAAAGTCCCATGCCTTTACCGACAGTGTGGACTATAATTCTCAGTGACTTAGAGTGCCACTATGAAACTATTAATTGCAGTGAACTATGAGTCAGGGAGATCAGCAGAACCTATAGGAACAACTAGGACTGTTTGTTCCTCTGCTGTGAGTTTAGACTATTTTGGTTTTGTACTTCTTTTTCTTTTCATCCCTTTTTCGACTGTGATTTTTGAAAATTTAGTGATGCTTATGTGGCATCCTTCTTCATTTTTTCTTTAAACCTCTTAGGGTATGATTTAGCAATCATATGGACAATACTGGGTAACATATGAATTGTGTGAGGACCACGGGTTTGAATTTGATTTTATCACTTTATGCTTTGTTTCCATAGAAAAGTTAATTGATCTTTCTAGATCCCATTTCCTCATCTCTAGAACTGGACAGGGCTTCAGAATTCCATCCAAGAGGTCTATGACAATAAACTAAAGTGCAAAGGCTTGCCGAGGGATTGATACCAGAACGAATGCTAGCAAATGGTAGCAAAATGAATAAATGATATTTTGGCCTGTTTAGCATTTCTTAAAAAAGGTAAAGGCCCTCCCGTTGATCGTCGATTTGCTCGAGCGGGCCCAGTAACGTCTCCATTGGAGACTTTGTTGTTACTGTGTCTGGCATATCGAATACTCTCGGTAGCTTGCCGGTCTTAACTTTTTTTTGTTTGCTCTATTTGCACCATTGAATATTGAACCCAGGGTCTTACACGTGCAAGGTGAAGCCAGGCCCCCGTTCCCCATTCCCTGCCTTTACTGTTATTTCTAAATGGAACACTCTTATATGTTTTGTGGGGTTGGGGTTTCTGAGACATACCTATCTCTCATTTAAAAATGCTTTTCTAGAGGCTGGAGCAATAGCACAGGTAGGGCGTTTGCCTTGCTCGCAGTCGACTTAGGTTCGATTCCCAGCATCCCATATGGTCCCCTGAGCACCGCCAGTAGTAATTCCTGAGTGCATGAACCAGGAGTAACTCCTGGCATTGCCAGGTGTGACCCAAAAAGAAAAAAAAAAAAGCTTTTCTAACTCTCCTGAGAGTGAAAGACTGAAAAAAAAAGTCTAATCTAGTTGTATTATAGGTTTCTGCAATGTGTGGGCTCAGGTTTTGATCTCTATTCCATGCACAAGAGCCCAGTGATTCTTCAGGATGCAGCTCCGTCTGCTTTGGTTGCCTGTTATTATACCCCGCTTATGATAAAGAACACTATCTGGAATATATTTAATCACAACCTTGGAAGAGCTGGGTAAATGCATACGATGGAAATCCTTACTATCCTTTTTTGACTTCTTTCCCTCATAAGCACCTTGAATCAAGATTTCTCTTTAATGAGATCTATCCATGGTGACTCGAAAATGTAATTTAATTCTTATCAGAATTCAGTTAAGCTTTACTCAAAGACCCTTGTTCAATATTGATTTCAGAGTTCAGCATAGCCCTCAAGCCCTCATGTGGATGTTTTAGCATTTTAATTTCTTCTGAACTTTTGTGACTCCAGTAAGCTGCCACACTAGAAAATCAATGAATTTTCTTAGAGAGGGTGGTGAGTTCGAGCAAGCTGGGAGAATAAAATCAAATGAGTTTGTTTTAAAGATAAGTTTCTAGTAAGACGACTCTAGGACTATGTGTAACTCTCTTTGAATGAAAGTTCTTGTAGCAGTTAAATACCTATAATGTCATCTGGTCAAATTGCCACTTGTTTCTGTGGTGAAAACAGATATCTGATAGACAACCTGGAAAAAAGAGAAGATTTGTGTTGGGAAATGTGTACTGGTGGAGGGATGGGTATTGAAACACTGTAGGACTGAAACGTAATCATGAACAACTTTATAAGGGTCTATCTCCGTGTTTCAGTTAATAATTTTTTAAAAAGCATAGAAAACCTGGACTTCAGTCTCAGTCTATGCTTTAAAAAAATTGTTTTCCTTGAAAGAAAAAGAATAAATATTGTGGTTAATTAAATCAATTATTTCCATATTTCATCATATCTGAAACTGATTTAAGTCTAGTAGTCTGAGACTAAGATAAATTTAACTTGTATTTGTTTAAATTGGTTCAGTACTGGTAAATTTAAAATCTTATTGAAATGATCCTTTTACATAATTTTAGATGGACACATATCAGTAAAATATTTTCCTTTATCTGTGATTATATTTTCCTGTGGACTCTTAAATCTTTGTTCATACCTAAGTAAAACTAAACCAGTTTTGTTCAGTGAACATTTCTGCAGCAGACGGTTTTTTGGGGGGCCACATCCAGCAGTGTCCAGGGCTTACTCCTACCTCTGTCTTCATGAATCACGAATCATTCCTCATGGGCTTGAGGATTATATGGGGTGCCAGGGACCTAGCAAAGGTCTGCCACATACAAGGCAAGCACCCTTCCTGCTGTCCTATTGCTCCAACCCCACAAAACACTTTTAGATATGCTTTACTTTATTGATTGAGTTATTATGATTACGTAACTACAGCATAATATACATTATTTCTATCCATTACTGATGTTCACTTTTAGCTTTTCATGTATTATCTTTACATTGTTTACACTTTATATTATAAAGCCATTTGTCACTAGATAGATATTGGTTATGATATTGGTATTCCAGCCCATAATCTGTCACATTGTCACTGTCCTCCTATTGTTCATCGATTTGCTCGAGCGGGCCAAATAACATTGTGAGACTTGTTGTTACTGTGTTTGGCATATCCTATACGTCATGGGTAGCTTGCCAGGCTTTGCTGTGCAGGCGAGATACTCAGTAACTTGCCAAGCTCTCCGAGAGGGCCGGAAGAATCAAACCTGCATTGGCCAGGTCGGCCATGTGCAAGGCAAACTCCCTACCACTGTGCTATCAGTCCAGACCATAACAGGGTCAATAATATGCCTATAAATGAGTAAAGTTTCTATTTTTATTTTGAATTACTTCCTTGCATAGCATATTTTATTTATATTAAGAATTCTACTTTGAGGCAGTTTAAAGAAATTTTGCTGTCTTTCCTCTCTCTCTCTCTCTCTCTCTCTCTCTCTCTCTCTCTCTCTCTCTCTTCTCTTTTTGTTTTTGAGACATTCCCAACTACTCAGTGCTGACACCTGGCTCTGCACTAAGAGATAATTATCGGTGGGCTCCGGGGCATCATATGGAGTGCCAGTGATCAAACTGAGTGCCATGTGCAATGCAAATGCCGTACCCACTGTACTATTTCTCTGGCCCCTTGCTAGCTCTCTTAAGAAAGATTTTTCCAATTTATAAATATCCAGAGATGAGACCATATGTTAGACTATAACTTATCCACTAATGAAGACATCTA